CTGCTGCCATCCCTGATGGCCCAGTTCCTCCCAGTGCAGCATTTCCCAGTACCCCTCATCCCATCTCCAAGCTCAGAAAGCCCTTGTGAAAGCATCAGATCTTCTTCCTCCTCTTTCCCCCTCCTCATCTTCTTCTTTCTCTTCCTCATCTTCCTTTTCCCCTCCTCCTCCTTTTCTTATTTGTTCTCCTTGTCCTACTCTTCTTTCTTCTCCTCTTCATCCTCCACATCTTCTTCCTTCTCATCTCATTCCTCGTCCTCATCTTCATCCTCCTTTTGTTTTTCTCCTCCTCCTCTTCTACCTCTACTTTCTTTTTCTCTTCCTCCTCTTCCTTTTTCTCTTCCTCCTCCTCTTCTTCCTCTTCCTCCTCCTCTTCCTCTTCCTGCTTCTCTTCTTGCTCTTTCTTCTCTTTTCCCTTCTCATCTTCCTTTGTCTTCCTCATCTCCCTCTTTCCCCTCCTCTTCTTCCTCTTTTTTCTTCTCATCTTATTCTTCCTCCTCATCCTCCTCATCTACTTTCTTCTCCACCTACTCCTCAGCTTCTTCTTCCTCCTTGTCCTCCTCATCTTCTTCTTTCTCCTCATCTTCATCTTCCTCCTCTCTTTTTTTCTTCCTCTTCCTGCATCTCCTAATTTTCTTTCTCCTTCTCCTCCTCTTCCTCAACTCTTATTCCTCCTCCTCCTCCCCCTTTGAGGGGCAGCCCAGCACAGAGCACAGCAACTTTGAGGCCCCCCATCCCACCATCCCTAAATGCCACCAGGGCAGGGCTGCCTCCAGGTGTGTCCCCACGCCGGGCTCGGGTGGCAGTTCCCCCGGGTGCCCCTGTGTGCCGGGGTGGTCCGTGCCCTTCCAGGGAATCCAGGGAGCACCGGGGGGTCGGGATGCAGGCTGCTGACGTTGTTCTACCCTGCAGAGAAGAAGCAGTACCGGGAATCCTACATCAGCGACACCCTGGACCTGGACATGGAGCAGCTGGAGAAGCGCTCGCGCGCCAGCGGCAGCAGCGCCGCAGGCACAATGACGGCACAAAGCGCTCTCCCGGCATTCCACCGCCAGCCACAGCAGCTCCCACACCTCCGGCATCGAGGCCGACCCCAAGCCCAGGGAGATGGGGCCCGACGACGGCTTCTCCGGCGCCGGCGCCCACCGCAAGCTGAAGACCTGCAGCTCCATGACCAGCCACGGCAGCTCCCACACCTCCGGCGTGGAGAGCGGCGGGAAGGACCGGCTGGAGGAGGACTCCCAGGATGATGGTGAGACACCGGTTTGGGCTTTCCAGCGTGAGTCCCGGCGGGTGGTCGGGGTGTGAGGAGTCACGTCAGCGGCTCGTCCCACCTTCTTGTCTCCGGCAGAAATCGAGATGCTGGTGGATGACCCCCGGGAGCTGGAGCAGGCTGGAGACATGGAGGTGAGCCCCGACATGTGTGTCTACATCACGGAGGACATGCTGCTGTCCCGCAAGTTCAACGGGCACTCGGGTAAGGCGGTGGCCGCTTTCACTTCCAATTCCCCAGCCCGAGTCATACCTTTGGGGCTTGGAATGAGAGGGTGTTTAAGGTCCCTTCCAACCCAGGTCATTCTGTGATTCTTTGGTGTTCAGCAGAGCAGAATTAGCCCAAAGTGTCCGTTTGGGACACCGGGAAAAGCCTTTTGCCCAAGTGGGTTGAAGGAGAGATGGGGTAAAAAAAAAGAGGAGACTGCCTCAAGTTGTGCCAGGGGGTGTTTAGGCTGATATTAGGGAAAATTTCTACGTGGAAAGCGTGGTCCATCCCCAGCACAGCTACCCAGGGAAGTGGTAAAGTTCCTATCCCTGCAGGGATTTAAAAGGATGTGGCACTTGGGGACATGGGTTAGTGGTGGCCTTGGCAGTGCTGGAGGAATGGTTGGACTCAATGATCTTCTCTGGAGCTGTGCCTGCACCCAGGGAGTCACCCACATTTCCAGCTCTGTGCTGGGAGGTTTCTGAGGTACCAGGCTCACTGGGGATGGCTTTGGATGCAGTTCTGGGGGATAATTTGGGATGCTTTGTAGGTAGTGGCACCCCGTTGAGCAGAGGCTGCCTTGTGCCCCACAGCAGGGACAAGCCCCAGGGGCAGCAGGGTTGGATCCCAAGAGAGCTGAGACACCTCAAAATTAACCTTCGCACCCTCCTCTTCCTCCCTTCTCCACGCAGGGCTTATCGTGAAGGAGATCAGCTCCTCCACCTCCAGCTCCTCGGAGACGGTGGTGAAGCTGCGGGGGCAGAGCACCGACTCCCTGCCCCAGGTGCGTGGCCCTGGGGGGGTGGTTCGGGGTGGTTCGGTGGGGCTGCCATTTTTCAGGATTCCCTTGGCTTCCCGGAGGGTCCTGAAGCCCCTTTGCTTTTTCCCCAGACGTCGTGCAGGAAGTCGAAGACGTCGACGGACCGGCACAGCCTGAGCCTGGACGACATCCGGCTCTACCAGAAGGACTTCCTCCAGCTGGCCAACCTGTGCCAGGACACGGCGCAGAGCTACACCTTCGGCTGCGCCCACGGGCTGGACGAGGACGGGCTCTACTGCAACGGCTGCCTGGCCCAGCAGTGCATCAACATCCAGGAGACCTTCCCCGTCAAAAGAACCAGCAAATACTTCTCCTTGGACCTCACCCACGACGAAGTCCCCGAGTTCGTGGTCTGAGCGCCTCGGAGGGAGGGGGCAGGACCTGCTGCCCGCCCTCGGGGGTGGGGGAGGATGGGGCTCCCTGCCCTGCATGGAGGGGGGGTGTCCACAGCGCCTTCCCCCCACCCCGCCCCGCTCCCTGTTCCCGTGGGAACCGCGGCACCGGGAGGATTTGTCCCGATGGGGATCCCCGGGCGCGGCGGATCGACTCCGGATGAGTCTGTGCCAAACACAAGCTGTCTTATTTCGACTGGGAGAAGCACAGCTCGCCTGACCAGCAGAAGCCCACCCGTGTTTTCTCGTCGTGGCCTCTTCCCCTCCTTGCCCCCCACCCCGTCTGAGAGAAAGTGCCAGACTGTTGAGTTCAAGTCAAGCCAAAGAAATGTAAATAACCCTAAAGGCCAGTATGGGAAGGGAGAATTAAGCAATAATGATGTTCCGTGGAGGAAGGCACGGCTGGGGCAGAGCATCATCCCGGTTCTTCCAAAAACACGTCCTGGGGGTCAGGCCAGAGCGGTTCCCAGCGAGGTGGATGGTGGCTGGGAGTTGGCAGAGCCATTTGCAACTTGTTTTAATCTTTTTCTTTAAAAAAAAATTTTTTTTTTTTTTGAGAGCAAAACCCCAAAACCAAAAAAAAAAAACAAAACAAAAAAAAAAACCACCTCAAAAAAAGAAAAAAAAGAAAGCAAAGAAGGATGGAAAAGATGGAAAAGAACAGGTCCCATGTAAGGATATTGCAATAATGCATCTGAAAGGTTGAATATCTAGAGAATACATATATAAATATATCGAGGTATGTATGTTTATATATGTCTGGATCTTATAGACCCATTTGCATTTTACTCCTGCTCTAAAATCCCTTTTATACAAAGGAGCTGCCTCTCTTCTTTCATGAACTGTATAAATAATCATATTTTTTTTCTAAGCACTAAGGTGAGAAAATAGACTTTCCTCTCGAGGAGAATATGTATGCAACTGCCTTGTATGTGTGGCTCTTCCCGGTGCAGTCTCTGTTGTATTTTCCCAAGGCTTTTCACGTGTCTTTAAGTCTCTTACAGTTGGAATAATTCTGCCAGAGGATGCTGGTGATGTGCTAGAAAAATCCAAGGGCGGTTTCTGAGAGTGTCCTAGGGAAGCCAGACAGCCCAGGTGGAATATTTGCCATCGGTACCGGAGGGTGAAGCATTACAGAGCTAATATTCACAGCACAATGCCTTTTTAGCAGATATTTTTAATTAGAGTTTAGCCATTGACAGCCAAAGTTCTGCCATATTTTGATACACCACCGTTTTTTAACTGGAAGCTTTTCTTAAAAAAAAAAAAGAAAAATTATAATTATTTTATAAATAAGCACAATCTTATTTTTGTAAGAAATGTTGGGGGAGGGAGCCAAGAAAGGGGAGCTGGTACCAAAAGAAAGGGAGCGTAGCTAGAGGCACAGTGCCAAAAAACCTCGGTGTTATTGGGATTTTTGGGATGTGGGAGCAGGTGTGGGAGAGCTTCAGGTGCTGCTGTGGGACTGTGGCACTGGCAGCATGTCCCCACCTCAGGATTTTGCATGGCACAAAGGATTTTATGGGAAAATAACGTTGATATCCAAGTGCTGGCGGGGCAAGCAGGAGGATGGTGGTCCCTAAAGCATCCTTATCTCCCTAAATCCACACAGGGCAGCTGGTGGATGCTGCCTGGGGGCTCAGGGCTGTGTGCCCTGCTCTGGTTTTGGGGGGGACACCCCAAAAGCTTCTCCTGTGAGTGCCACATCCGAGGCTGGGATCCTGTTTGCCTCTCCAGATCCCCGTCCATGGCTGGATTTGTGGTGTGTGCACCAGCAATGTGGGTTTCCATGTTGGTACAGGCAGGAAAATTCCCCAAATTCACCCCCAGCCTCTTTTTTTCCCCCTCTGCTGGGGAGTCATGCTGGCACCCCCTCCATCCACGGGATCCTCACCCACTGCCCTGCCGAAACACGGAGCTGGAGGGGAAAAAAAAGGGATAAATTGTGGAAAGAAATGCTCAAAATTGGGCAGGGGGGGCAGCTAAACCAGGGCCTCTCCATTCCTCCCCCTCATCCCGTTATCCTGAAGCTGGACTGGAGTGTTGGAGTGATGGGGTTGGGATGATGTGTTGGGCTGTGATGGAGCTCACCCCTGGACAAGCAGGAGCAGTGCCAGGGTGCAGGGGGGACACAGAGGTGCCATTGGAGCAGGGGGGACACAGAGGTGCCATTTATTCCCGTTTATTCCGCAGGTGGCCGGGGCGGCTCCGGCAGGGACCGGGGGTGGCCGTGCCCGCCCCTGCCCTCGGGCCGTTCCCCCCCGCAATAACGAGCTGTCTGTCTGCACAAAATAGTCCTTTCTGTGAAAGGATCTTCCCGTCGGGGGCGATGGGAGAGCCAGTGACTGTGTTGCAAAAGGAACAAAGACATAAAAGAAAAAAAAAAAAACAAAGAAAAGGAAAAAGAAAAAAAAAAAACCTCAAGGAAAACTGTACGAACTTTTCCCCCCCCACACACCCCCGGAGCGAAATTCTTTTGTACCAATGACAGTTTGTTGTGTGCCTTTCGCGGTACGGCTGGACGTGACAATAAAGTGACAGTTGTTTGCATCGCTTTGACTCGTGGAGATCTGAAATGCTCCCAGGCTTAAGGGAGGGGTCTGAATTTAAGGACACGCTGCGTTTATTGTGCTCTCTGCTCCGGCGATCCCGGCTCCGGAGAGCTGGTTAAGGCAACTCCTGCCTCGGGCGGGGGAATGGATGGGCTGAGCCTTTCAGTTCTGATTTTTGGGGTGATTTTTATGGAAGTGGCAGCCAGGTCCAGCGCTCTGGAGCTGGGTGGAGGTGCTGGGGGAGCTGCAGGAGCTCCTGAAATGAGTGGGGTTAGGGGGTATCCACAGTAAGGGATGTAGATCCTGTGCTCCTTGCAGCTGTGCTTCCCGAGGGGATGTTCAGAGGGGTCCTCAACTCGCAGAAGTCCTGGGATAAAGGGATGAGCCCCTTGTTGTGGAGCTGGTTGGGAAAAGCCTGTCCCCAGGGCCCCCAGTCCTCCTCCCCACCTCGGGGAACAGACAGGAGTGACCAGTGTGATGAGTGAGTCCATCCTCTGCTGGCCACACTCCACCCCTTTAATCCCACTTTCTCCCTCTCCCTCTTCTTGCAGCGGGCTCTCCTTAGGGACAATAGGATGAGTGTTTGGGAGCAGCAGCCAGGTGAGTTTTCCCAAGGGAGGATCCTAAATTGATGTTTTTGTGTGAACCACCTGGTGTGTGATAGAGGGTTTGTGCTGCTTTTCTCCTCCACAACACCCAGGAGCACCATCCCATCTCCCACTAGTGCTAATTAAACTCCACAGAACATAATTAGCCAGCCCTTTTCCTTGTGATTTTGCCAGTTTTTGCTGATCCTGGCATCTCCTTCCTCCAGCCAAGGAAAACTGTTATGGATGGTACAAACACCCACAGCCTTTCCGTGTCCCCATTCCCAGCTGCCGGAGCGTCTCTGGATCCTCAGTGTATTTATCCTCTTGCAGGGAGAGAGTGTGGAGTGACAGGACAAATAGGAATGGCTTCCCACTGCCAGAGGGCAGGGTTAGATGGGATATTGGGAAGAAATTCTTCCCTGTGAGGGTGGTGAGGCCCTGGCACAGGTTGCCCAGAGAAGCTGTGGCTGCTCCATCCCTGGAAGTGTCCAAGGCCAGGTTGGAAGGGTCTTGGAGCAACGTGGTCTAGTGGAAGGTGCATGGCAGGGACTGAGTGGGATGAGATGATCTTTAAGGCCCGAACCATTCTGGGATTCTATGATTCCATGAAGATGATGAAGAGCCTGTTCTCCCATAGGGAAGCAGCACCAGTAAAGCTTCTGGAGTGGTTTCTGCCAGTACAAGCCACTGTCCTGGGATGCAACCATGCCCTACTTTAAGGCTGGGGGTCCAGGAGCATGGAGCATCCTTGGATTCTGCCTGCCTTTGCTGTCCATGCCTCCAAACACTCTGGGAGAGAGATGAGGATGGAGACATGGGGCTGTGCCCCTCCAGCAAGGAGTATCCCCACTGCTCCCCTCCCCTGGCACTCTCAGCACCCACAGCACCAGGAGCATCCTGTGCCTTTTCTATGGGCTCCAAAAATAATTGCATGTTACCAGAGAATTCCCTTTGTCCTCTAAAAATACCCCTTGGCCCCCGCGAGGCGGGCACTGACCGTGGCCGGTCCCGGTGCCTAATTGCTGATTTCTGCTGAGACCCGACATTTTCGGGGCAGGAGGGAGGAGCACGAGAGAATCAGCAACTTCTGGGAGGGGGACTGCATTGTCTGCTGCTAAGTATAGCCTCCAGATTTCAGCCCTGGCCTAAAAAAAACCCCTAAATTTTCCTAAAACCAGATGTGGAAGGGTTTTTTGGACCAGCCAGCCCTGTCTCCCCAGGGGTGAGGAGGGGAGGTGGCTCTTCCCTCCCCATGGGCTGTGTTTAATAAAGGCTAAATAGGAATGAATTTAATGAATCCCCCTCCCTTTGATGACTCGGCCTCCATTTCTCCTTCATCTTGCCACGGGAGAGGTCTCCAGGGGAGGGAAAGGTCCTCCAGTTCCCATCCTGGCGTGTCCCCAGGCACCCACGCTGGCCTTTTCCCTGGGATGCTCCCGGCTGCTGGCAGCCCTCCTGCCGCTCTGAGTTACCATTTCACAGATTTAAGCTCTGACAAAAAGGCTGCACTTGGGCCACCTCACCTCCAGTTTCTCCAGACTTTGCACCTCCTGTCACCATTTGGTGGCAGCCGGAGAAGCCCAAGGCTTGGGATTTGTAGGGCGACAACACAGGGAAATGGCACCTTTATGGAGCCAACTGCAAAATGCACGATAGAAAAAGGGAAATGTTGCAGTTGTATCCTTAATTTATTAATTAATTTTGCAACCAGATCCAAGTAAGAGCCACTTTTTCCTGCTGTTAAGCAGCGATGGCTGTGCCGGGGCGGGTGCCTGGCACAGCATCCTCCTTTTATCAGCCCTTCCAAAACAGGCTGGACATACCCATCAACACCACCCCAATCAGGCACCAATGACTAATTGGTGATAATTACAAAAACAATCCCCCGTGTGCTGGTGTGTTTTTCAGGGCATTTTTTGCACCCTGAAATTATCACCGGTTGCAGCAGTTTTAATTAACGCGGCGTTGGGGTCAACGTGTAGGGGTAGGGGTATCGTGCCATTGCCAGCTCCATGCTGGGTGCCAGTGGTGCCAGGGAGTGCCAGTGGGGTGCCAGGGCTCCAGGGACAGCTGTGGGCAGGGGTTTTGGGTGTCGAGGTGCTGTGCCAGGGCTGAGCTCCCGCGCCCTGCTTGGAGGGCAGCGGAGGAAATCAGTCATCGAAGGAAATCAGTCATCGAGTGTTGCTGTGGAAACGGGAGGGGAAACTTGGTTTGTGGCAGCCAGTGCCTCCCTGCCAGGAGCCCTGTGGAGCCTGGCCAGTGGAGGGGTGACACACAGCCCCCCTGTGCCCACTGCTGAGGCCCCGGGGGGATCCCTCTGACACCCTCTGCGGGATGCTCCAACGGGAAGCTGCATCCTACAGTGCTGCTGCTGCTGGGGGCACTGGCACGGCTGTTTTGGGGGGCTGTGCTGCACCCCAGCTCTGCTCTGCCC